TCGTTTATGTCCATTATAGTGGACATTTTGTCCACCTGTACCCCCCCTAAGTATCTGGAGTTTTATTATTTAATTATCTAAAGCCTGTTCTATTTTCCCATGCAAATCGTCTAGTTGTCCTCCACAGTGGACATACTATGAAATTAAAATAAAAATAAAAAAAATTTAAATTTAAATTGTAATGTTCTTTTTTAGGTCCAAATACATGGAAAATCACAACAAAAAAGAAATTTGAAGACACTTTTTTTCTTTGGGTCTCAGGAGGACAAAAATAAACATTGACTGATTGATTGATTGATTGAACAAAACTAATTCAGCTTGCAGTTTTTGGAAGTTTTTGATTAATTTCTGACTTACCGTCAGACAGAGGCAGAGACCTGAGGGAGGGGGAGGTGGAGCGGGGGGGGGGGCTCGGGCCGAACCTGGACCCGGCGGTGGGGGGCTTTTTGGGGGGCTTTTTTAGGGGAAAGTCTGGGGGTGGTGCTGACTGACGACAGGCTGAGGGCGTCTTCAGACTCCACATCCGTCCGGTTGGCCTCCTCTCTGGAGCTGGACTCAGGGCTGCTGACCCCCACGGGGGTCCTGGGGTCGGTGGGGGGGGGTCCGGCTTTAGAGGAGGGGTTCTGCTCGGAGGAGTGGGAGGACAGGGACTCCAGGCTGCCCATGGGGGTGCTGCAGGGGCTGCTGCTCAGGGTGTCGCCTATGCAGGGACCAGGAGGGAGGCGGGAAAAGCCCTCATTAAAACCTGCTAATAGCCAATAGCATGGAAGCAGGCTAATTAACCCTTTAAAGCCCGATCCAGGAATAAAACAAAACAGAAAATGAACGTGTTTGATCTGTTCCTTCACTTTTCTGTCTAATCTGTCTAATTTTGATTATTTTTCTTTTCTTGTTTTTCTGCTTTTAACCCTTTAAAGCCCGATCCAAGAATAAAACAAAACAGAAATTGAACGTATTTTATCTGTTCCTTCACTTTTTATCTGTCAAATTTGGATTATTTTTCTTTTATTGTTTTTCTACTTTTAACCCTTTAAAGCCCGATCCAAGAATACAAAATAAAATATAAAGAAATTAACTAAACCAGGTTATGGTCTCCTGATGGGGCCCAGAGTCAGAATTAAACCAGCTGAAACTTCATTTCAGTTCCAGGCTCCTAAAATCTGGATCAGACTTCCTGAAGACGTGAGGCAGAACTCAGCTCTGACAGTGTTTAAATCCAGATGAAAACATCTGTTTAACTGTGCAGATGGAAATTAAACGTATTTTATCTCCACCCTTCACTTTTCATCTGTCTAATTTTGGTTATTTTTCTTTTCTTGTTTTTCTGCTTTTAACCCTTTAAAGCCTGATCAAAAAATAAAACAAAACAGAAAAATACTTTTTTTTTTGTTTGAATTCCTTATTTGCCCTTTTAACAAAATATGTAAAAAGAAAAAACAGAAATACATTTTTTATATTAATTATTTATTACTATGCTATAAGTCAAGTATTTGACCCCTTGCTGATTTTGCAGGTTTGCCCACTTACAAAGAATGCAACGATCTATAACTTTAATCATATGTACATTCTAACAGTGAAAGACAGAATCCCAAAGAAAATTCCAGAAAATCACATCATATGAATTTATAAAAACTGATAACCATCTGATGAGGAAAAATAAGCATTCTTTGTAAGTGGGCA